GTTGACCTTTTAAGATCATGGTGGATGTAAGCCAAATTTGAATGGATTGGTAACATTTTACAACCCTCACACAAGTGTTATAATAAACACAACCTCCTTGGCAGAGGCAATGATTTTTCTTAATCAAGAAACGCATTAAAGAAAAAACAAAACACTTATGTGGGGAGTGTGTATGTCTTTCTTTGTGTGTCCTTAAATACATGTTTGGCCTGGAGTTTTAATTGTCTTTTCTTTTTTCTTTTTTTTATGATGGCAGTCAAAACAAAGCTACCTGTGACCGTAGCGTAGACGTTACTCTTTTCTTCAGCCAGTTCTGGCATGTGCTTACATGTGTCTGCCCACATTTAGTTTGAATAAATGAAACAGTTGACCTTTTCTTTTAGGTGTGTGTGCACTTGGCAATCAGATCTTTGTGATGGGCGGATACGACGGCACCAACCAGCTGAACACGGTGGAGCGCTATGATGTAGAAACCGATACGTGGAGCTTTGCTGCCTCCATGAGGCACAGACGCAGTGCTCTGGGAGTCACTGCGCTGCATGGACGCATCTATGTGTTGGGTGAGTAATGTAGCTCGTAGAAGCCTGCTGAGAGAAAAGCAACGATTTGATTTACAAAATATGTTTTAATTATTATACCGATATCAATGCAATTATTTTGTTCACCTCCCACATTTACAATCATTGGGTGTGAGCCGGTACTCATTTAGGTCACGAGCACCACACCACAGCATTTCATTCAGGTTGAGGTTTGGACTTTGGGATATTACAACACCTTCATTGTTTACTTTTTCAGCCATTCTTTAGTAGCTTTGCTACTGTTCTCACGATCATTGGCCTGTTGCATGACCTAGTTTTGGCCAAACTTCAGCTGTCAGGCAGATGGCCTCACACTTGACTCTAGAATACGTTGGTAAACAGTACTTTGGTTTTGTGGCTGTAAAACATGCCCATATCATCACACCTTCACCACCATGGACGGTTGTCTTGTGGTTTGTTCAATTGCGTCTTTGCAGGTTTGTTTGTTTGTTTGTTTGTTTGTTTTTATTTAGTTTTTTTGGTTTTCACACACTGCCTCTGCTTTTCAGTTTGTGTTAAATAAATAATGCCAGAGTGTGTAATATGTCATGTGATGTTGTTTACCTAGGAAGTCAAAATTAGAAACAGGATGTGCTTTCTTTTTCATGTGTCTGCGTATTAAAACTCTTTGTAGTGTAATCGTTAAGTGTTTAGATGGATTTTGCAAGGCATGATTAGCCTTGGGTAACTTGTTCAGTTTTTGTGACTATAAAATGTAAATATTTAAGTTTTTATGAGTCACAGTAGCAATAACTAACTCCTATTTACTCACTCCACTTAGTGTTTGTTATCCATAGCTCAGATCTGTGCTGTGCTTACAGGAGGTTACGATGGCAGCACTTTCCTCGACAGTGTGGAGTGTTACGACCCAGAGCAGGACACTTGGTCAGAGGTGACCCACATGACTTCAGGCCGCAGCGGCGTGGGAGTGGCTGTCACCATGGAGCCCTGCCAAAAGGATTTATTGCAGTGTCAGGCGTGTGACGGTGGAAGAACCAGTGGCAAGGCGGACCCTTCGGCAAATGCACGCGAAGATCTGAGCAGGACCCGATCCACACACTGACACGCATCTCAAAACTGACCTGTGAAAACTGGTCCTTTAAATTGAGTAACGTTATAAGATCCAGACAGTCTAGCTTTGTGCTCCAACGCGGCATTTAAAGCCCTCAGCTAGATCATCATTTGTAAAGGGCTCCATAATAAAAAGGTCACTTTACTGGCCCAATGAGTCATCAGGGGCTCTTTATTGCATTTAAAGAGCAAACTAAATCTGATAGGTGAAGGAAATACTTCAAGCGATCGATTATGTAAACAAAACGTAGCGTGTGTGTGGGGGGGGGGGGGGCGCAATCAAAGTGCCATTACAATGCCTGTGGGCATTATCACTATGTCGGTATATTCTCCTGAGGTGCTTGTGTGGGAAGGCACAGGCTGAGTCACTGTGTGGAAATTAGTGTTAACCCAGAGAGCCACAAGATGAAGATCGTACAGTGGGCCTCATGCAAGAGCTTGTTTGACGTGCTTATACAGACCATCTTAATTCAGTCGAATAGTTCTTTACAAAATCACAATCTGCACATTAAAAAAGAATACATAAATAAATAAAGAAGAAGAATTTAAGCTCCTGATGTTGGATATATCCAGTACTAGCAGTCCAAAACAACCTGTGTAGTAACAGGTTTTTGATATAGCACAGGAACCATTATTTCCCTCCTGTTTATTGTATATGTAGACAGTTATTTGCTGTTATTTTTAGTAGTAATGTACTTGTTTAAACTCACCATCTGTTTAGAACTCATTTTTTTGCAAATAATCTATTTTTATTTAAAGTGGACATCCTGTATGACGCCTGTGAAGGCACGCGGAAGATATTTAAATCGGTTGTTGTTGATCTAAGCTGAAGACAGATTCTGCAGCTCCAGAGCTCTTATCCCACCTTAAATATTTTCAAGAACATTTTGGATTACTGGATCACACACAAGAATATACCTGTGATATAAAAGAGGGTTTTCAAGCAAGCTGGCAAGGTGGTTCCAGTTTTAAATCCAAGAACAAACGTCCTGTGCGAGGCATTTGGTGTTGGTGTGATCCCTCGCCTGCAACACCAACCATGACGTGTGCTGTTAGATTCCAAGAAGAAATACTTTAGCCTTTCTTACATGACTACCTGATGCTCGGCTGCAGGTTTATTTTGGTAGGCACAGCTAAAACTAGCAGTCCTGCAGTAAATCCAGCTTTCACAGTGGGTTTCTACTGTTTTGTTGCCTTTTAGTGATCTTACTGGGGCAAAATAATAAACGCCTGTCACTTTGGTGCATAACACTTCCACAGAATCACCTCCTTTTTATGGAACCACTTAATCAGAAATTACAACCTTCATGAAGGTAGGATTTATTGCAGGATGTCATATTATAGAGCATTACATCTAGTTAAGTGTGTATAATCATAAACTGGCAGCTGAGTTTCTGTTCCTTCAACTGCAGTCATTATGCAGCTGTACGGGTGTGGGGGAAAATGTGCATGCACCTGCCAAATTGTATAAATTGTCATCTCAGATTTTGGTAGAAAAGATCTGCTTTAAGCAAGTGGTTCTTCCATGAGGCCCACTGTCAAAAATTCAAGTGTTGATACAAGAGTCTGCATAGTAACAAATGTGTTCTTTAACTGATTGCATAAAATGTGAAACTTTAGTAAAATACTGAGCGATGCTTCTTCTCGGGCTCCACGATTGTCGTCCAGTGGGATCGGTGTGCAAAGCGCCAACAGAATGAAGAAATTAGTTTAGGCTGTGTTTAGAGGAATCAATACTGTAGCATTTAAACGGCCTGAATTGAAACATCTCACTATTTGCAGACAGAAATGAGACCCTCCCGCGCGCAGTAAACAATTTTTTTTGGATTTTCACATCCTTGAGACCTCAGACACAAATGACCATGTTTGTGCATTCGTGTTCAAATATTGTATACTAATGATTTTAAAAAAAAAAAAAAAAAAAAAAAAGGGGGGGGGGGGGAGAAAAACTTGCTTAAAAAAATGTATTTGTAACAGCGGTTTAAGCTACAAATGTTTTTAAGTGATGTTTTGTACATTGATATTCTACAAAGTCTTGTACAGGAATTCAGAGCTCACTTTTTTATTTATTTGTTCAGGTCCTTTGTGATTTTTCTTCTTCCTCTAAACTGACATCAGCTTTGTATTAAATTGGACTCTGGTGTAGTGTTTTAATAACTAGCATGCATTGTAACAAACTAGGAATGCCTGTTAATGCAGATTTTGGATGTTTGTTTAAAAAAAAACCCAAAAAAAAAAAAAAAAAAGAGAAACCGACGCTTCACCTTGAAAGGGACCTTTCCCCCCCTGTCCAGTGTTTGGATTAGAGATGAAAATATTTAAAAGCATCTGCTTTGTACATTTCTCCCCCCAAGCAAGACCTACCCTGTACAGTAATGCACTGTTAATTAAAATGTGTTTATTGCACTGCTGTAGTCATGTAATAATTTTAGTTCTGATAGTTGCTGGGTTGTGTGTGTGTGTTTTGTTTTTTTTTCCTGTTTTTTTTATTCTTGATGTTACGTTCATTTGTGCTGTTTTCAAATCAGTAGTGGCCACTAGAGGGAGCTAATGCGCCTTCATATCTTCTTGTATTTTATTTCTACATTTACCCTAAAATAAAGTTACCAACTTACGCTTTTTGCTAAAGATGGATGCTCCCTGCCCACTTTGATAGGTACATCTGATTAACTACTTATTAATGCAACTATCTAATCATACAATCACGTGTCAGCGTCCCACTACATTCGGGCATGAACACATGGTCTACGTGGCCTATTGAAGTTCAAAGTGAATGTCATCAAGATGATTCTAAGTGACTCTGAATGTGGTGTGGCTGTTGGGGCCAGGCGAGTTTTTTTTTTTTTAGAAACTGCAGATGTGCTGGGATTTCCCCCCAACACAACCACCTTTAGCGTTTACACGGAATACAGCAAAAAAGAGGAAATGTCAAATTAGCAGGAAAAAACACTCTTGTTGATGCAGTAACTAATTTAGCACTTGTTACAACCAAGATATGCAGAAGAGTATCTTTAGTAGAGGCGAAATGTTGAAGCAGATGGGAACAAGAGCAGAAACCCACATCATTTCTCCTCTCTTGCTCTGATGATTCTTAATTTCTGCTGCAAAATTTGTGTGGTGGGGTCAGAATCTCATGTAAGCAAGCAATCCTGCTTTCTATTTATGTTCAGGCTGCTCGTGATGGTGAAGTGTATACTTTGAGCCCCAACTGAGCATCATTTAAACTCCACATCCTACCTGTGCGTTCTTTCTGACCATGTCCATCTCTTAATGACCAAAGTGTACCCATTTTCGACATTATCCTGATTTTAGTGGAATAACCTGTAGGATGTTGAGCTTAAATAGTCTCAAACCAGTTTCCTGAAAATGACAATGAGTTTGCAATTCTCTGATGGCCTCGGCAGTCACCAGACCTCAATCTAATAAGGCATCTTTGGAATGTGGTGGAACCGGAGATTCATATCATGGATGTGCAGCTGACAGTGAAGGTGTGATCAATAAGGACCCAAATGTCTGAGTAATGTTTTTGAATCTATGCCATGAAGGATTAGGACATGGCAAAAACAGCTTCAGCCCAGTATGAGCAAGATGCACCTAATAAAGTGTGCGTGTAGATACTAGTGTGCAAAGTCTCATTTTTATGATCTTTCTAGTGTGTTTTTCAGTGAGTCAAAAGCAGGTATGTCATTTACCGACCACCCATGATACCTCCCAACACATCTAATTTCCTGGCTAAACCCAGCAGGTGGATAAGGTAGACCACTGTTTACACTACCGAGAAGTATTGTGTGGGCTTACAAGAGTATTAAGACTTGGCAAACACAGGCCTAAAAAACACAGACTTAAAAAAGAATCTTTGAAGATATACAGTTGCGTCATCAGTTTCTCGTTGGAAGAAAATATCTTTCAAATATTGCAGATGGAAATTTAAGCAGTTAATAGGCCTCTAAACTTTTTTGCTTAACACCCGACGTCAGATTGTAATAAGAAATGCACGTCAAACACAGGAGGATGATAACTTTGTGATTCAGTTTGGGCGGAAAGAAAGTCACTGCGGTAACTTCCTCTCTTCCCTTCTTCTCCCGAATATTACCACAGCATGACTTTACAAAAATGTCAAGGTTACGCAACACTAATCGAGGTGTGGCTGAAAAATAAGGAGGCTGTTCCTGCTTTGTCTTGCGTGAGACCAGGAGCGTTATTTAATAACCATGCCTTCTTATCATTTGAAAGTCATACGATAGCAGACCACGTGCTTGCATTCTGATGGGTTTATGGGTTGTTGATTGTTGATTGTTAGGACCGGTATCTTGTATTGTGATAGGTGAAGAAATGTCCGCTTATACACTTTGATCTATTAACTCATCTTCTACACATTGAAGAAATCTTCTGTTCAAGTTTTAGCATTCACTCTCTCCTAGTTTTCCTGAAAGTAAAAATGGGTCTGGAGTCTTATGGGTTAATTTCATATAAAGCCTCATTTTAAATTCTTGCTAGGGGCGCAAATATACACTAACTGCAGTAATCACATTAACTACGTATAGATTACTTGAAGTGTGCCTCTGTAAAGTCAGCGCTCACATGCGTTGAACATGCTCGCTGACAGTGGTTTTATTTTGAAAACCTCGCTTGTTTGTGCCGCGTGATTTCTCGCGAGCTTCACACCGGTGAGCGCCTCTGAAAGTGATGAAAAAACTCTGGCCACTGCCACCGGACACCAGAGGATCCTGTGTGCGCGCAGGTATGTAAAATTAATCTTGCTGACGCTTGCTTCTGTTTTACTCTGTTGGGCGAAACTTCTGAGATAATTTCAAACTTCAGTGGAAACTTAATGGGAGATAAGTTCTCGAGGTTATACTCGTTTGATTTAGGAAGTAGCTTTGGAAGTTCACTAATTACCTGCGTTGTTAAATGAAGACAACGCCACAAGAAACGCCACTTTTACCTCAAATTTAACACAAGCAGCGATGTTAAGAAGAAATTAGCCAGACAGAAGTCTGCTGCAATGATTTGTATTTGGTTACCTGTGTGTGCACAAATGCGCACAGCTCACATCACAAATGAACAGGCTATTTATCTCGTTTTGATGCAGTAGTATTGTTATAAAACAGTGGAGCTTCTGTCCTTCTTTCTCTGTTTATCTATTAAGGTGGGCTTCGGGACACAAAATTGTTTCCATTCTTTCGAGAGAGAGAGAGAGACTCTCTTTGTTGTCAGACTAGTTCATCCTGTTTGAATCCCCCTTTGAGCGCAGGAGGAGCGTCCATTCATTCAAGGTCAATAAACAGCCAAAGCTCATGTGTGTTCTTTGTGTCATGTAACTTTAAAACCTTTGACAAGATTTTCTCTGGAGACTTCTCTGCATTGAAAGCCTGTTCCAGCTTCATTGCTCAAATCCACTCGTTCCTTTCCTTTCGTCTCCTTTCATCAGTGTGGAGCAGCAGCCAGGATGATCCCAGTGGGTGAATTCAGATCCCTCGGCACAGAGCCCAGCTCGAAGTATAGGGTCCTGAAGCCATGGTGGGATGTTTTCACAGAGTATCTGTGCATTGCTATGCTCATGATTGGAGTCTTTGGATGCACTTTGCAGGTAAGGTGTCTACACTTTGTGTCCATAAGTTTTCAAAAAGTAAAACCAAGTCATCGCTGACCTTGTCTGTCTCATTGTAGATGCCATGATAATTCCTGCATTATCTGGCCACCCAGTCACGCAAAAATGCATGCACTAACTACAGCTGAACGAACTTGTTTCTCCTGACCCACTTTGTGCACATTCAGATCACAAACTGGCTGCTTAATGTGTGTCTCTCATCACATGAATATCATTTCTGTGTCACATTAAAATAGCACCAAAGTAAAGCAAAGGGACTACAGTGTAGTCAGCGCTAATCAGATATAATAACATACAAATTTCACAACTTGTTTACTGCAGATTTTCTAACTGTTGTGTTTTTCAGAGCAGAAGCATCAGTTTATTCCTCTAATTGTACTAAATTGTTGTTTAAGCGTAGACACCAACAACAAAGGGGCATTACAGGGGACGCATTCATGAAAAGAATTGGTCACAAAGCTGTCTGAATTGCTGCACCATCTACACAGTCTGTTTGGCGAAGCTGAATGTGTGAAAATAATTCAGCAACCAAAGGGGGTCTCTATAGTCTGACACTCATTAGAATATTTATTATTTATTACTTCTGTCAGTGTAACATTTATAAAGTAATTATGGATTTCAACCAAGCAATTAAACATATACCGGTAACCACCACCTTTACAAGGATGGTGTAACACACACATTTAATTTTAAATTAAAAATATTAAATCATCTGCTATTTTCGACCAAAATTTTCACAACTCAAAGTTTATCCAGTCTGGTTTCTTTCATTTACGAAATATCTCAAAAACCTACCAGTAATGAAGAAATTTTTGTACATAGTACATAGTAGTTAGTAGTTAGTTATAACTAACTCACTTTTCACATGCATTTCTCAGTCTGCTTTAGCCCGTCTACCATTGGCCTAGAATACAGCACCTAGGCTGCTAACAAAAAACTAGTCAATACTCATAACAAAAGGCCATAAATAAAGCCATTAATTATTTTTGGCCTTTTGTTCTTCTCATATGTGTATACATAAGTGTGTATGTAGGAATGAATGAAAGACTGTGTGTTTGTAAGTATAAATATGTACTTTTATTCTTTCATCTGTTTTTATCCAGACTGCGAAGCACTTTCTAATTGTGGATTTTAGTGTTGTGATTTCTTCTTCAGACATAGGTAATCGAATTAAATGTAAAAATAGAAATGGCAGAATTAAATCTCCCTTTCACTTAGTGCTGTTAGACACGCTGTGCTCATTAACCTCTGCAGCAGCACAAAATCTCGTTAATTAAAAAACAATAAAGAAGATATTCCACTACAGTGGAATCTTCTGCTTTGGTGATGGATTTTTTCTTGCTTTCCTACAGCAGCATGTTAATAGTGACTTTTACTCTGAAATGAAGAGGTGGAATGGATCATCCCTCCAAGTAGTGTCATGTCTGATGTCATGGCTTGGAAAGTATAAGCCTGTTTCTGATTGTTGCTCGTCTGTTTGATGACGCATCAAAGGGCGGAGGATTTCGTGTATTTTTAAACCCCTCTCTGATTTTATCATCTGCAGTTTTTAGCTTGTGCATTTAGGCTTTACGCGCAAGGTGAAACCTGTTAGTTCATCACTCCCAAAGCGTAGCATTATACACTAAGTGATAAATTGTCAGTATATTACACTTCCGGGAACCCATCACGTCCCTATATTACAAGATCAGAAAAATGAGGAAACATGAGAACTGTTTGGAATGAATCTACACGTGTGCGTTTGTTTTACTTAAATTACTTTGGAAAACACTATCTAACATGCTGGTTGAGGTTAGGGATAGAGTTAGGGTTAGGGCTGGAATACATGGCTGGAACGTGTATTACGGCGGGAGCATCATTCTGCTAGATTTCATCCATAACCTGGCACGTAGCATAAGAACGCGGAAGGTCACCTTTTGCATTCCTCAGGAACGCCTCGGGATTTGACAAATCGTGACTATGTTACGCCTGAGAGTGAGAACAAGCGGATTAGTTTAGGCTTTGCTGTTCTCCAGTCAGAAATACTTGAGTACCAACAAGTGAACCGGGCTTTGTTTTTAATCACGATATTATTATGTTCTTTTTTTTTTATAGCTCACCCAAGACAAGATTGCATGCCTGCCAAGCCACTTCACCAGTCCAACACCAAAAGCAATTGACTGCAGCAACATCAGCAGTTATGGGGACAATGAGAAGTTGCAGAACACACTGGTGACCCCGGCGAGCCCCATCATAGTGGAGGTGTTTGGGCGGAAGAACAATCTGGACATTCATCAATACGTGTTCGTCAACAACTATTGCTATGAGAGGTCTGTTCACTGGTATGCAAAGTACTTTCCGTACCTCGTGGTTATCCACACCATAATCTTCATGGTAACAAGCAGCTTCTGGTTCAAGTTTCCTGGGACATCTTCTAAAATTGATCTCTTTGTCAACATTCTTGACAAGTGCTTTGACTCACCCTGGACCACAAGAGCCCTGAGTGAAGTTTCTGAGGAAAGAGGCGAGGAGAAGCTAGTCAACTGGAGGAGGAACACTATGACTAAAGGCTCCACAGAAGGACAAATCGATGAGGAGGAGACTGTGGGCCTTCTTCGCTCCTGCTCTGTTAAGTCTAATCAAGAAAAGAAAAGTGCAGAACCGAAGTCTACCCTCTCTTTGTTGGATAAGAAGGAAGGAGAGCAAGCCAAAGCTCTATTTGAAAAGGTGAAGAAGCTCCGAACTCATGTGGAGGAAAAAGACATTTTGTACCACATGTACGTTCTGCAAACGTCAGTAAAGGTCATCCATTTTCTTTTGATTATTATTTACACCGCATTGCTGGTACCTAACATTGAGATAGTTGTGCAGTGTTTGGTTCCGCCTGAGCTGACTGGTTTTGATATCTATTGCTGTAACCACAACAAAGCACATCTTTTCTCCAAGCTTGCCTACTGCTATATCTGCTTTGTGGCCGTATTTGGACTTCTGCGTATCTATACCCTCTACTGGCTTTTCCATCGACCTCTAAAGGAGTACTACTTTGAGCAGGTCAGACTGGAGACCGGAATTAATGACATACCTGATGTGAAGAATGATTTTGCCTTCCTCCTGCATCTTGTGGACCAATATGATGCTCTTTATTCTAAAAGGTTTGCTGTCTTTCTTTCCGAAGTCAGCGAGAGCCGCCTCCATCAGCTTAATCTAAACTACGAGTGGACTGACAAAAAGTTGCGCACGCGTCTAGCCAGGAACACCAGAAACCGTCTAGAGCTACACCTGTTAATGTTACCAGGGCTTCCAGAAACCGTTTTTGAAATTCCCGAACTGGAATCACTCAAACTCGAGCAGATGAAGAATGTCACCATACCGGCTAGTATAGCAAAGCTAGAGTCTCTCCAGGAGTTATCAATGGTCTACTGCCCCGCAAAGCTCCAAGTTGCTGCCCTAAACCACCTGAGAGAACATTTAAAGATTCTATATCTAACCTTTGAGCATTTAGAAGAGGTTCCTGTGTGGATGTACACCTTACACTGCCTGGAAGAGCTCCACCTGGAAGGTCCTTTAACCAACGAGGTGTCCAAAAGTCCCATTCTGGATTCCTTTAAAGAGCTTAGAGCTTTGAGGGTCCTCACTTTTCGCTCCAAACTTACAAAGATCCCCTCCAGCATAGGAGATGTTGCGTTCCAGTTGCAGCGCTTGCGTATCTACAATGAAAGTGTCAGGGTCCAGGCTTTAAGCATCCTGAAGAAGTTAACCAACTTAGTTTCACTGGAATTAGTGGGCTGTGAGTTGGAGCGCATCCCAAGTGCTGTCTTCAGCCTGAGCAATCTGCAGGAGCTGGACCTGAAGGAAAACAAACTCACTACTGTGGAGGAGATCCTGAGCTTACAGCACTGCAGGCATTTAGTGACACTTCGGCTATGGCACAATAAAATCTCATACATCCCTGAACATATATCTAAGCTGCATACCTTGGAGACACTGGACATTAGCTGGAACAAGCTAGGAAAGCTTCCCTCTCGGCTCTTCTACTGCACCAAACTCCGGCACCTCGACATCTCTCACAATCAACTCACTTCGCTCCCTTCTGAAGTGAACATCCTGCAGAGCCTGCAGTTCTTCTCCGCAGCTTTCAACTCCTTAGAGACAGTGCCAGAAGAGCTGTTCTCCTGTAAAAGGCTAAAAACGCTGATTCTTGGTAACAACCGCCTTTCACACTTCAGCTCAAAAGTAGCCAACCTTGCCCAGCTGGTCCGGCTGGATATTAAAGGAAACCGTCTGGAGTACTTACCTCAGGAGATAGGGGACTGTCCCCTGCTGAGTGGGCTGATAGTAGAAGATAACCTGCTGGATCAACTGCCATCAGATGTAAGAAGCAAGTTAAATAAAAGCTGAGTGTGTGGAGCTAAGGTTCGTCACATACTTGTGTTTTCTAATTAAAGAGTGGTGGGTGAGCTTGAAAAAACATTTTTGATCCAAATATTTTTCAGAGAGAAGCAAAAGGAAAACCCAAACCACAGCTGACCACTAAAAGAGAACCAGTAACTCTAAAGCTGAAGACTTTCATAGGACTGACCTAAAGAGGTGCTTGTGAGAACACAAAGGTCTAACACAGTTGGATCAGACGGTCTTTAATCTACCAGGTGCCTAGCACAAAGTCCATGTGATGTCAAATTGTGCCATATGCAAACCGCAAACTGCATTAAGTGGACATCATGAAGGCTGCCTCCCGCACGCTTTCTCCAGGCAGCTTAAACCACACTGTGTATTTCTAGTAGGGAAAACACATCTGTGGACAAGTGTGGAAATCCTAATTGTCCCAGTTTTGCATATCCATTAAAAACTGATTTAAAGACTCTATTTAAAAGCAGTCATAACGAAATGATTCATATTTTTTGATTTTCACATTTTGAAAATGTTTTTTATGTGTTGTCCTGAAAATAGCATCTTTTTTTATTAAGTTAAAATGTGTAAAAACACATCTACATTTAATTTTTACAAAACTTGATTTTTACTTCAGTAGATGACACAGAAATGTAAAGTGGAACAAAAAAAGTGTTGTAATTCAAGATCAGATTAATACTGTATGTGGGGATGAAATAAGAGCTATAAGTACTTTACAGAAATAAAACAGCGAACAAGCCTTAACCTTTAAATGTTTTGGGACTGCACCTCCGTTTGTTTACTAAAGACCTTTGAACTGTATCCTGCTTGACGGGTTTGCACAGCGTGAATATGCATTTCTTACAGTGTGGTGGTTCATGTCGCTCCGTTTCAGTTCCAAAACACGTGGAGGGAGAAAAAGCCTTTCAGTAGCTGGATAAAAGGTGTTCATATCTCTGTTTACACATTCAGTCAAATGGAGAAGTGAGTGAACTCATACTGGGGTGGTATGAGGTATATAAGGTAAAGGTTCACTCTCTACAACAATGACTGTGCATGATGTGAGTGCCAGTGGTAATGGCTGCTGTTTCCACTAATGTTTCAGCATAGTACAGGTGATAATTGGAGGTGATGTCCAGGCAGCAGAATTTTAAAAAGCTGTGGCATGTAACATGCAACTATGGAAACTTGCTAGGCTGATCTGTTTAAATGCTTTAAACTGGATATATTTTTACTTCAAATCTTGTTTTTCTTTCTTTTTAAAAAATTTCAAACATCCTTTATGCAAAACTTTAGATGCATGGATTCTGCACTTTTCCTTCACCATTGTTTCCTCCATTCACATCTCATGTTCAGACGCACATAAAACCGGTGCTTCCTGGAAACAGCTTCCACTGCTCAAACGAACTGCAGTCGGTCATGTTCTGGCTTGTGTGACTTCTATGTTCGTGTCGATCAGCACACTCACTTGCCCTTGATTGAAGGATTACTGTGTGTGCTATTTTCTGTCACATTAAGGAATTGAGATGTTTTAGGGAGAATTTAGCACTTATGTTATGAAGGGAAATAAGTTGCACAGTAGGAAGTAAGTGATTTGTCAGTAATTTCTCTATTTCTTTAACCCTTTCACACATAGTGGTCACTACAGTGGACAGCTATTCAAAGGCTGTTTTCTTGTATTTGTGTCAGTGTTGATGGTATACACATAAACCACTACATTGGACAATGATGTGTCAGCCCATACACATCTGTTGTCCGCCTAAGTGGACATGTAAAAAACTCTTTGAAAAGTACATGTTTAAAAGATTGAAGTTCAAAAATCTTTTTTTCATGCCTAAAGATGAATAGAAATACTTAAGAAAAAAAATTCTGAATGAGGATTTTCATAATTCATTCATGAAAGGGTTAAGTCTCAGTTAAAGTTGCAGTCAAGTAGCAGTCTAAATGTGACTAATAATTGACTGGAAAAAATAGCAATACAATGTCTCCAAGATGGTTGTTGCTTTGGGTTGTGAGGAGTGTGCAGAGAGCCGCCGGTTGTGCTTGGTGTTTACTTTTGTAAAATCGGATTATTGGGTGTCTCAGCTATGTGTGTTTCTGGTAAAGGTTCACATTCAGTTCCTGCAGGCTGTGATTTCGTGCAGCTTGATGAAGTGAGAAGCACAGCAGAGCGTGTAACAGCTTCCAGTGACTCATCGTTTGGAATCTCACCAAATGCCAAAGGCCAAACAATTCAGAGGGAATAACAGTTTCAAATGAAAAAAAATGAAGGAAGCACTTGATTTGCAGTTCTCTACATCTTACAGTCTAGTAAAAATTGCACACATGGGAAGCTCCTCCTTTCATGAGCACGAGAGCATTTTTTAAATATGAAACTAATCCCTAAATCCTTTTAAGCTCTATTACATTCGTAAATGAAAGAGATTAGAGATCTGCAACCAACTAATAATCTTAATTACTGATTATTTGACATATTATTCTAATAAACAGTTTGGTCTAGATCTGAATAAAGCGGTGTTACAAAACCAAAGTGCTCCAGTTCATTTCACCAAATATCTTGTTTTGTTGGACCAAAATTCTAAAATGCAAAGAGTAAATTCAGATGTTTGATGTTTTAAACAAATGATCAAACTGCTAGTTAATTATGCAGATTTATTTTCTTGGCAACATAATCACCACAGCTGTAACAGAGGTCAGGGGCAGTCGTTTGGTATCGATTCAATACCAAGTAAAACCCAAGTAAAACACGACAGTCAGCACAAAAAAGATTCATTTTTCACAGTGCATGTTTGAGGTATATTGATTTAAAACAATTCAGTGGGCAAATCGCAAATATCGATCCGATAAAAATACCAGTGTTGGTATTGATACTGTTGAAATTTGGATTGATCTGCCCACCTTTAGTGAAGGGCATTTGTGGAGAAGTGGTTTATGAATCCGTGAAGCTGTGTCACCCCTAATGTCTGTCACCCCTCACTGCTCCTCTCCGCTCTTTAATCAAAATCAGAGAAACTTTATTAATCCCAGAGGAAAATTGAGTATACATACAACTGCATGAAATGAAGTGTAGAAACAGAGACCGATCCCCATCTGCTCCAGTCTGCATACCAAATATCCTTTGGCAAGATACTTACCCCGATGCATCCACTGTGCATGTATTTAGATATAAATAGATATTAACAGACATATAAATATAATATAAAAAGACACAAGTATTAACAATAAATACACTTTAATCCAAGCAAAATAGAAAAACAAGAAGTGTGAAATCTTAGTTATTACGTTAGTTCGGTCAGACATTTGGATAGTTTTGTGTCATCTTAATTTACACACATCTGCGTGTGACTGCACCAGTACGCTGATTCAGGGTTTTCTTGTTTACTCCCACTATTGTTACTGCTGCTTGTAAACCTGCATATTTCTCCCAATCTGTGGATTAACCCAGCCACATTTAGGAAGTGCTTGAATGTAACAGCCACCCACCCAGTCAGTGAAGTCGCTGAGCTCTACCTAGTGGCTGGGCTGTATATTTAACCATCCTGGTTTTGTAACTGATTTATATGTTAGGGTGAGAAAATATACTTAAATATCTATTACACAATTTAAGGGCGTGGTGACGAAGCAGACCTCTGAGCGGAAAGTTGCTAAACTATCTGGGAAAATATGGGTGGGGAAAGACAGCATTTTGAGCAGAATTGCTCCAGTAGACTTTACTCAAACATCAGAGTCTGAGTTGAGTCTGGATTAGCGCTGCTGAATAAACATCACATTCATTTAATGTTAAAATATTCCTTGAAGATGAAAAGATCAGCATTTAAAAGTAGGCAGATATTATCAGCTGTTCTAAAGCACAGCACTTGGTTTGTTTTTTATTTCATTCAAATGGAAATTTGTGAGTTTTCTATTGAAAAATTTTTGATTTGTGTGATCGTTCTGTGACATCATAGATGTCTGCATAGTGAGCTGTGAGCGCAGCAGTTGAACTGTATCTCCTTTCTTGGCAAGTAAAGTTGGCCAGCAGCACACAAGCAAACAAAATGCCCATTGTACCACGAGAGCCCCGAGCACAAACATCAGCAAACTGTGCCACTGTTACCTACAAGCTCCAACAAAACAGGGCTCTCATTCATTTCTACTTCAGTTCAGCTATCTTTGTGACCTTTGTGAGACTTTTCACCGCGCTGTACATTCCAGCGTGGAGTTATTGCAAATGCCCTTGGTGGATCACCATAAGGACGTCTGAGCGGTTAAGACTGCATGGAAAGATGCAAAGAAAAGCACACAATGATTGATTAAATTCCTCTTTCAGTTGTGGTAATCTATTTTGTTTTGGGGTTTTTTGGAGGATTTTTAAAAACATGAGAAGCATCGGGAGTCACGGACAGAGCCGGGAATTTTGAGATAGTGAAGAAAAGATTATCTGTGGACTCTTATGTTCCAGCGACAAGTAGGTGGTGTGGTGATGCAGCGGTTAGCAGTTTTGGCTCACAGGAGGAAAAAAAAAAAACTTCTGCACGTGAACCTTCCTGAGGCCTGATGCGTAGTTTGCATGTTTTTTCTGTGCCTGTGTGGGTTTTCCCCCGGCGCTCCAGTTTTCTTCTATCAGTCCGAAAACACACATATCTTGGTGATTATAACTGTTGATTTTAAGTTCATGTGGATGTGCAATAGATAATAAATAATAATAATGGATTGCATTTTATATAGCGCTTTTCAGGACCCCTCAAAGCGCTTTACAATACCACTATTCATTCACTCTCACATTCATACACTGGTGAAGGTAAGCTACAGTTGTAGCCACAGCTGCCCTGGGGCAGACTGACAGAAGCGAGGCTGCCATATCGTGCCATCGGCCCCTCTGGCCATCACCAGTAGGCGGTAGGTGAAGTGTCTTGCCCAAGGACACAGCGACCGACCGGCAACCTTCCGATTACAAGACGAGCACCCAACTCTTGAGCCACGATCGCCCCGATAGTGGGTAGAATAAACGTTTGATATGAATATGCTGATAAATGTGTCTTTATAGTGTCTTTATAGTGTAAAGCATTTGGTGTGGGAAATGCACTATGTATTTACATAGTGCATTTCCCACACCAAGTGTTTTTTTTTTTTTATTCCTATTTTACTGAACAAAAGTAAAAATATTCATTTTAATCCTCTTGCAACCGTGATAATTTACTCCCCCCATCCCCCTTCGTTCTCTACATCAGGAGTGTCAAACTTATAGGTCACATGCAGTTCAATCTCATTTTAACAGTAAAATCATTGCACTGTAACCTATTAAAAAAAAACTAAGTGTAAATAAGTACTTCCTTAAAACATTAAACCTGAAATAAATCTAGCCTAAGAACAAAAAATAAATTTACTTACAGCAAAATTTCTGTTTTTCAACTTTCTATCATTAAAAAAATGTTTCAATCAAACTCAATGAACCAGGTCAGCATGGCTCTTTGTTAAAAATTACAGAGTAGGAGTTTTCACCAATTTACCCAGCATCCAGTGGTCCAGATTGTACCCCACCAGGCCAG